TTAGAGCACTGATGATATATGGAGGGTTGCCCAGAGGGTGGGACACAGGAGTTTTAAGACTCTCTGAGGTGAACCGAACTGATGCCAGTCCCTTTTCAGAACAAGGGATTTAATGCTCAGTAGGGAGCTGAGTGTAGTGTCACAAGTTCAAGCTCAGCATGGACAATTTAACAACACTCTGGCTCAAAAAAAAAAAAAAAGAAAGAAAGAAAGGAAGGCTGGGTATGTAACTCAGTGTAAAGGTCCTGGGCACACTCCCCAGGACTGACGGGGGAAAACAGCAGGGAGGCTCAGCCCATCCAGTGGCCCCTCAAAGCCACTGTGGCTGGAGCAGGAGAACACTGGGGAATCATCTTTATTCCAGGTGCAGTGGGGGCTATGCCGAGCTTGAGCAGGGTAGGGATGCATACTTGTGAGAGCTTGCTGTGCGTATAGAATGATGCCAGTGGAGCCAGTACAAGGCCAGTATCGATGGTAAAGCCTCCTACAGGTGGAGATGCTCCTGGCAGACCAGGAAATGGTTCTCAGCCTTTTTCTTTGTGGTGCTGGAGAGCAAACTGAGGGCCTTTGTACTGAGCTACATACACAGCCCCTTTTTAAATTTCTAGATTGAGACAAGGTCTCCCCTAAATTGTCCAGCCTGGGCTTGAGGTTGCAATCTTCCTGCCTCAGCTTCCCAGAGTGCTGGGATTACAGGTGTGTGCCACTCTACCCCATAACATTTTTTTCATCATTTCCTATCTGAATGTATCTCCAGAAATTGGTATGTTGGAAGCGAATCTCCAGTGTGATGGTTTTAGGAGGTAACAAGGTTGGTGAATGTAGAACCCTCATAGATATTTTTAGTGGCCTTGCCTTGAGGCCTGCAGGAGCTGCCTTATCGGGGCTACCACATAAGGGCACAGCTAGAAGGCACCAACTATATGTAGTCTTTGCCAGGCTGAACATCTCTGTCCATTACTTAATCTTGGTCTCCTGGACTTCAGACCTGTGGAAAATAAATTTGTAACCTACCCAGTTTGTTGTGTTTGTCACAGCAATTATAATGGAATAAGACTCCCCCTAAGGAAAAATTAACAAGAAATTTAAGAGAGTAAGATTTGTGTGTGTGTGTGTGTGTGTGTGTGTGTGTGTGTGTACCAGGGATTGAACTCAGGACCTGCTTATAAGGCATGCACGGTGCCAGAGTTAAAGCCCCCACCAGAATAAGATTTTTTGTCTCATAGTTGAGCTTTAGAGCCATAAAACATTGTAATAGAGCTAGGTGTGATAGTGTATGCCTGTAATCCCAGCATCCAGGACACTGAGGTAGAAAGACTGCTCCAAATTCAAGGCCAACCTGGGCTACGTTAAAAAAAATTGTAATATCTAGTCTATTTCTCCCCCAAGAATCCATTTTCATTCATTCCTTGAGGGCATTTTAGAGCTTTCCAGAGAAACAGCCAATAGAATGGAGGGAGGTTTTGTAAGTCATTGACTTGTGCCATTAAGGATGTTGAGGGGACCCAGGACCTCAGTGGCCCAAAGGGACACCCAGGACAGCCGCAGGGGCCGCTCCAGGCTGAGCCCCTGGCCTGCAACCCCAGGAGAGCCAGTGCTGTTTTCCAGCATCTGGCACTCAGACAGGTAGAGCCCTCAACACTTGTTCTGTGTGTGTGTGTGTGTGTGTGTGTGTGTGTGTGTGTGTGTGCGCGTGCGTGTGCTCGTGCACCCTGAGATCACACAACCTCACACTGGCTAAGCCAGTCAGTGCTCTGCTTCTGAGGTTCACTCCAAGCCACTTGGTTGGATCTGCTTTTGCTTGTTTTTTTGTTGTTGTTTCTTGGGACAGGGTCTCACTGTGTAGTTTAGACTGCTCTGGAACTCACTGTGCCCAGGCTGGTCTCGAACTTGGAGCGATCTTCCTGCCTCAGCCTCCCGAGTGCTGGGATTACAGGCGTGCACCACCATGCCCAGTTTGGATCTGCTTTTGACAGAATGTAAACATGGGTTATGCGGGTCCCCTGAGTTTGCTGTCTTCAACTCTTTCTACTCAGAGTGGTATAGCTCGGTCATATGGTAGCTCTAGTTTTAGTTTTTAGTGTTTTGCTTTGTTTTTAGTACTGAAGCTTGAACTGAGGACCTCCTCACTGAGCTACATCTCCAGCCCTTTTTATTTTGTAACAGGGTCTCCCTAAGTCATTGAGTTGCCCAGGCTGGGCCTGAATTTGACTCTCCTGCCTTACCATCCCAAGTGCTGGGATAACAGAGGTGTAATCAAGCTTAATTTTTGTATAGGATAATTGTGTGTGTGTGTGTGTGTGTTACTAGTAATTAAACACAGGCCTTCACATTGAGCCACATCTCCAGTCTTTTTTCTTTTTGAGCCCATTATCTCGCTAAATGGCCCACACTGGACTCAAATTAGGATCATCCAGAATTTGTTTTTATGAGAAAGCACTGGATTTCATCAAAAGCCTTTCAAACTTTCACTGTGAAATGATACTTGTAGACTGCCCTCGCGTTCCTGGGGAAAACCACTTACTTGCTCCTGGTGTACAATGGCCTAGTAATTTCTGTATTTATAATAAAAATTGTCCTGGTTTCTTTTCTTGTAGCTTGTGAGACTCAGTATCAGCACTACTGACCTTACAGAATGTTAGGAAGTATTCACTCATTTTGGGGAAAAGTTTGAAGACTGGCATTCTTTTTTTTTGTCCCCAGGGATCAAACTCGGGACCTTGTGCTTTCAACGCAGGAAGTGGTGCCATTGAGCCTGGCATTATTAAGTTTGACAGAATTCACCAGTGAAGGCATCTGGTTTTGGGATTTTGTATTTGGCTCAATCTTGCAGTGTTGTTCACATTGGCCTTGAACTCAAGGTAATCCTCTTACCTCAGCCTCCCAAGTGTTAGGAAATTTCTGACTGCTTCACTTATTTGCTGTAATACTGCACATATAGTCTCTTTGCGGCACTGGGGATTGAATCCCAGCCCTTTTGTAACTAAGTTTTTGAAACAGGGTCTCACTAAATTATCCAGCCTGGGCTTCAACTTGTGATCCTCCTTGCCTAAGCCTCAAGATGTGCTCCCACACACAGGGGTCCTCAACGAGAGGCTGAGAATCTTTGCCAGGCTCTAGGTTGGAGGCCTGTCTCTCCTGTCTTCCTCTAGATGAACTCTGGGACTTGGCCACACTGGCCTGGATGCCCTCAAGGAAACCCTCTCTGGTGGTCAAGCTTCTGTCTGTGTGCTTGGAACCCTCCCATTGCCAGCTTCGGTTTTCAGTGGTCCAGGAGAGGAGCGAGGTGGCTGGGGCTTGAGTGTGGGCCTACTGAGGAAGCAGCTGCACTCCAGCTTCTGGCCGTGCCCACTGCAGCACTCAGTGCACTGGGCTCCAATCCCGGGGCCATGCTAGATGCCAGCCCGGCCCTCCAAAGTGCTCCTTGTAGGCGGCCTGGGGCCTGGGCTCTGGCTCCCACACACTCCCCCACGTGTGCTGACAGGAATCACAATTGGCAAAAGGTCATTCAAGAACAAATCAATGCACAAAATATATATTTGGTTCAAATTAATGGTTTTATTTTCATCTTTAACACTAGGAGTCCAAAACAGACTGATGTCCATGTAATACAGTTTAAATGTAACAAAGAAAGAACCGAACTATGTACATTGAGGAGGAAAGGAAAGATTTTTTTTTTTCACACAGCCTTTTCCTAGTTTGCAGTTTCTGATTAGTAGAAACCACACCCCCCCATAGAATTTAGGGTAAATGCAATTTTATGATCAACCATGTGAGCTAAAATGAAACAAAGAATTTGAAATGGATGTCACCCTATTTACTGGTCAACCGCTGCATGGTTGCCTGGCCCTCTTGTATGGGCACCATCAGAAGAGCATCTCACTGATGCCCAGAGGGGACTTAATGGCCGTGATGACCAACTTCATGGAGAAAATTATCACTCATTCAAACAAACTGGTAGTAAGCCAAATAGTTAAAAAAAAAAAGAATAAACCACTTTCTGTTCACACAGAGGAGGGACGCTCCTTCAGCCCCAAGTAAAGTGAATTCTGTGCTGAGTCCCTGCTCCTTCAGAAGAGGACCTGAAGGTCAGTTATTGCTAGCAAAACTGGAGCGGCCCTTCTCCAACTCGAAGATGTTTCATTGCCAACAGCTGGCTACTGGCTTGGCTTGAAGCCCTCTGAGGATGGAGGTGTGGCAGTGAGGCAGGCCGGCCCCACATGACCACTCCCACTGGCCCGGGTCCTGATGCCCCTCCAGCCAGTTCGGGTCACTCTGCTGCCCCTGAGAGGTCCTGAGGTGCCACACACCTGTAGTTGAGCAGAGGCTGTTAGCTGGGCTCTGCAGAGAGGGACAGCCACCAGGCTCACCAACCAAAACCTACGAAACAGGCGAAGCGCAGCTGTGCAAACAAGTGTGGCCCGATGAGAGAGGGGGACAAGCCAAGCCAGTGCCAGGTCAGGTGGGCCAGTATCTCTAAAGCGGAGACAGCGACCTCGGCAGACATGGAAATGAGCGGCTATAAGGCCACAAGTGCTGCCACCACCTCCTGTATCTACTGAGGCAGACACCAGGCAGCGGGAACGGAGGACCAGAGGGCCAGAGGGCACATGGCCAGCACAGGACGGCTCTCACCAGAGAAAGGACACTCAGACGCACGCCTGCCCTCGGGCTGCGTATCCTATGCCAGGTGGAGAACTTTGGAGCACGGGAAGGTTCCTGAGAACGGCTGGCACGCAGAGATAGGCAGGCAGGCACTGCTCCGCAGGCGGGTCAAGGACTCTGGGGAGGATGCCAGCAGCGCCACCTCCTGACTGCTGAGACGTGGGTGAGAACGGGCTTTATTGCACTTTTCGTTCTTAGGAAACAGGGATTGCCCTGCAGAGGTCCTCGTGGTTTGCAGAGAACACTGCACATCAATGGTAAAGAACAGGCAGAATCGCAGGTTGCCTCTGACTCCCAGGGAAGCCAAGTCCAAGGGCCGCCCCTGCATTGGGATCCTTGGGCCAAGTGGGCCAGGTCTAGCTTGAGCCCCGGGTGGCAAGCAGGCGAGATGGGGGACTTCCCGATGCCTGGGAAGGGCGTGCTCCTGGGAGGCTGGGTGTGCCAACAGGGAAACTTCTTGGCACAGAGCAGACTCCACAAAGGCCGGACCCTAGACCTCAAGCTCTACTGTGCCCTACTATCCTTGCTCCTACTTTGGGACCAGCCTAGCCCAGAGGAGCAGAGGTGAGGAGCTGGGCCTGGAGCACCTCTGGATGCAGCTCCACAGCATAAACTCTCAATAACAAAGGATCTAAGAGGGTGGGGAAGGAAAGAGCAGTTTACATATCAGAAGTTGGTTTTGAAACAGTCTTGTTGCGCTCAGGAAACTGGAGGCATTAGCATGCAGAGAGCCCAGCCAGGCTGTCTGTCCATCCATTCGGCTCTCAGCTCTTCATATATAAATGGGGTGGTACCGTTTGTGGCTGATCTTCTTCCTACAAGTCGGGCAAGTGTTGGCATTCTTCAGTGAGTCACGGAGGCACTGGCTACAGAAGACGTGGCCACACTCTGTGGAGACAATGAGACGCCCATTCTGCACAATCTAGGAGAGAGAAAAAGGAACAGACTTTAAATGTGTCTTTGTCCCAGAGTACCTTACTCCATGGCTGTCACCGAGATGAGGAGCAGGAGGAAGAGCCAGGGTTATGGTGGGACCCCAATATCCCAGCAGAAGCTGCATAGAGGGTGACAAGGGATTACGGTGAACATCAGCTATCTGTGGTTAGGGACAGGACAGGGAACCCAAAAGACCACCTGCCACTTGTGCCCAGGACACTGACAGGCTCAAGCTGAGGACTGCAAAACCCAGAGGAACTGCCATGTTTGAGGCACACAGATCTTGGCGAGCCGGGCCACCCAGGCACAGCTGCAGACAGGGGTCACCCCAGAGGGCAGATTCCCAGGGTGGAAGCCACAGGTAGGTCACTCACCTCTGAATATCCATCCATGCAGATGGGACAGCTGACGGTGCCAGAAGGCCTAAAACCACAGTGCTTGATGTCAGTTTCTCAGCAAATCAACATCCAATCATCTTATTTGCCTCTCCCAAGCAGCGCGGCACCACCCGAGGCCCTCCCCCAGCCTGACTGCCTGGTCACCGGGATGGGAAACTTGGGGAACAGTCTCCTGCATGCCCGGGTCCTGTTAGTCCCAGGCTCACGACACCAGCTCGGCCCCCACCACAGCACAGCAGCACTCAGGGCACATGGGTACCTCAGGCCTGTGGTGCCATCATCCCGGGCATTTCTGGGAGCATGAGTGGTGACGTACACATCCCTGTCCCTGGACAGCTCCTCATCGTCACTGCTCACCACACAGCTGTCAGTGTGGTCCTGGCGCAGCCTCCTTGCAGTCCTCCTTGGCCGCCTTCTCTCTAGAGTGAGAGCCGATTTTCAGGGCACTGTGCCCTGGGCCTCTGGAGACCCCCACCCCGGGACAACCATCAGAGAGACTTCTGCCCCTCCAGCGCCACCTGCCCGAGGCCTCCCTCTTCCCATCGCCACCCCAGCCGCTGCTGTGCAGCCAGCCAGCCATGAAGGGAGCAGCTCACAGGACATGGTACTGTGGTTCTTTAGCAGGCCTAGGGGACGGACTGCGAGTCTGACCCCAGCAGTCACAGGCACCTTCTGCTCTTGGTTCTCACTCCTGAAGATGGTCTAGTGAGGCCTGTAGCACCACAGCCCCCAACCATGCCGATTCCTTCCAAACCCAGAGAAAAAGGACACGGAACCACTCACCTTCAATGATCTTTGAAAAGGGGGGAGAAAAAAGAGAAAGTGCAATCAGTATGACTTCAGTGGCTGACACACTTAAAAGTTCCTAGCACGAGACCCTCTGGAGAACCCTTGCCCAACCCAGGGGACCCATGCACACCTGGTCAGCCCCACGATCCCTGAGGGTCACTGCCTCCCAGGCGCTGACACAGGGTCCCGCTGGTGCTGGCCAGCAGTGTCCTGGCACCTGAGCACAGCTACACCAGGCCCTGGATGTGTGACCTTGAGATGACTTATGACCTGGAAGCTGCTTCCTGTTCTCAAAAGCAGAAACCCAGTGCCCACACCTTACCGTGCCACCACCAAGATGCAATGAGACAGAGGACTCTCAGCACAGGGCCAAGGACCAGAGCGCAGTAAACGCCAACCACTACCAAAGACAGAGGCTATCAGAATGGCTAAAGGAAAGGTCAGGTGGGGACGGACTAGGGAGCAACATGCCCAGGGCGGACCCAGATGCCCCACATCCTTGCCCCAGTGCTGAGAGGGCACATGAGGATGGTTTCTGCCACCTTCTGGTCAAGCTGGACACCGGCCATCTGAGGGATGGCCCATGTCCCTATCTTAGTCACCACACAACAGGCACATTCACAAGTGCCCTGCCCTGCAGTGACGGAGGTCTACCACCATCCGACACCCTGCAGCCATGCTCCTGCTGTCTGTCAGTCATGCTACTGCGAGGGCAAAGCTCCTAACAAGGAGAAGCAGCCATTGATAGCGACCCTTCAGCTCACGTGCCCCAGCAAGCCGTTTGTATCACTCCAAGCTCTGAAAGGTTCACCATTGAGGGCTGTGGCAGTGTCTCCTTAAACCCAGGGCACAGTGCAGGGACAATCCCACTCCTCAACTTCGGCCTGCAGCCAGCTCCTCCAGGCCCCCCAGTACCATGCACACATTCCTGCCCTGAGCTCCAGTCCTTAGAAAAGGCTTGGGGTTTGACTCCTCATGGTGGAACCCCGGTGCCCAGGCATGAAGGCCTGCCCTTTGCAGATGAGAAAAGAATCCCTTGGGGCCACTGAGCATGCTTCCCTCTTCCAGGGTGACATGGGATGCCCAGAAGGTAGGGCTCTGCCAACAGTGCTGGTCTCGGGGAAGGCCCAAGGTGTCTCCAGAGCTGTGGAGACACCAGAGCTGTGCTGACCCTGCATCCTTGCAATGCTTGCCAGGCAGAGTGTGCATGAGGCGCCACCAATGTCCACCGAAAGGGCCAACAGACAAGCACAAACAACTCAAGACTATGGTCTGAACGGCTGGACTCTTTCTTAGTTTTGGTTTTGTTTTTTTGAGACAGTTTCACTATGTAGCTCAGAGCAGCCTCTAGTGTTCCTCCTGCCTCACTCTCCTCTAATGCCGGCTGGGATAACAGGAGTGCAACACCATACCCAGGGAACTGCCCCAAGGGCACACACTCTGCTGTCTATTCTGTACATCTCTCTTTTTTATTTTTGTACTGGGGGTGACTCCAGTACTTTTGTACTGAGATTCATCCCAACCCCCTCCCCAGATGGAGCCTCCCTGTATAACCCCAGGCTAGCTTCAGGCTCCCCAGTGCTGGGATTACAGGTATGTGCTGCCACACCCAGCTTTGATTTTTGTTTTTTTTATAAGGGACTGAACTCAGGACCTTGTGCTTGCAAGGCAGGTACTGGCACTATTGAGCTAAATCCCCGGCCACCCCCAGCTTTAATTTTTAATTAGCACACACTGGCAATACAATTTACATTCATCACTAGTAGTTGGTACATGTACCCCTGCCCTTTCTTCTTTTGAGACAGTCTGGTTATTTTTGGTACTTGAGATCAAACTCAGGACCTTGCACTTGCCTGGCATGGATGGTGCCACTGAGCTACATCCCCAGCCTGAGATAGGATCTTACTAAGATGGGCTCAAACTTGATCCTCCTGCCTCAGCTTCCCAGAATGCTGAGATCGCAGGCTTGCAGGACTCTGCCCAGCTGGACTGACTCCGTTTCTGGAGAGCAAGAAACAGGCCAGGTCTTTAAAACCAAGTGGAAACATGAAGCAGGCACACCTGTCTGGTCACCTAAACCGCCTATCCATGCTTCTGAAGTACAAGCACAGTCAGAACATCCCATTTCTCATTTATCCGAGACTTGAGGAAGGCTGGGGATTTAGCTCAGTGGTGCCACCACATGCCTCGCAAGGACAAGGTCCCAAGTTCGATCCCGGGTACCAAAAAAAGGGGAATATTTATTTTTGTTTTTTGGGGCTTTTTTTGAGACAGGGTCTCACTATGTAGTTGAGACTTAACAGAAACTCACTATGTTGCCCAGGTTGGTCTCGAACTCACAGCAATCCTCCTGCCTCAGCCTCCCGAGTGCTGGGATTACAGACATGCGCCACCACACCTGGCTCAAGGGAATATTTATGAAGCAAAGGCTGTTAAGTCTGAAACAACTCCTTCTGGGCAAGTTGGTACACACTTGTAACCCCAGCTAAAGCAGGAAGACTGCAAGTTCAAGCCCCACCTAGGCAGCTTAGCAAGGTACTGTCTCAAAAACATAAACAAAAACAAAACCCACACTCAGCAGCTGAAGCAATTGTTAGATCTGCAGCCAGAGCCCAGGACTTGCCTCCCACAGCAGAACTGTCCAGCTATCACCCTTCCACCTACAGCATGCTGGGGGACATCCAGTCAGACCAATAGCTCCCAGATCTCACTCCCAGCAGCCCACAGGGTATGCACCCAGATTAACCAGGAGTGGAGAGCAGAGCAGGGTCCAGGCTGGAAATAGTGGGAAGTGGGAAAGTTCAGCAGGACACAAGCAAGAGCAGTCTGGGCAACCATGCAAAGATATGAGGACAGCAGTGGTGCGACCCTCCTGGCTCTCCCCTGGAGCAAGCAGAGACCAGGCCAGGCTTGATGTGCTGTGTGCCAAGTATCAGAGGACAGCCCTGGGCAGCAGCTTCAGCCCGACAAATGAAGCACTTCTTGGATTCCAGGGAGCACACGGGAACAAGAGTCAAGGTTCAACATGCACACCCCCAGAACGTAGGCACAAATGCCTATCTCCCAACCGCCCCTGAAGTCACCTGCTCTTGTGATGTGCTAGGGGTGACAACAGCACAGCCCAGTTGCTTCTAACCAACACCAGATGCCGTATCTGTTCCCACAGCTCCCTGTCCTACAAAGCCTCAAGGCTTGTCAGTGAAGACTGAGAAGTTCTAAGCAAGGCAGATGGCTTGCCCATGTTCTGAAGGTCAGTGACACTAAATCAGCCAGCTCCAGGGCTAGAGCACCACCCATTCCTGAGATGTGGTGTCCCTTGCCACACAACTAACACTGTCCAGTGGGGTCCCAGGCCCACAGATGTGTGTCCCTGCTCCACAGAGCTCATCTACCACAGCGAGCTGCTAATGATTTACAGAACCAGACCTTCCTGCACACTCCCCACCAGAGCCTTGCACAGGTGCTTTGGGACGGGGACATAGTCTCACAGGCACCATCCTCCCTGGAGTCAGGGTGGTCCAGGCACCAGGTAAGGCGGGGCTCCTGCTTTCCCCAAAACCGTGCTCACTGGCCACTGTGCCTGGAACCTAAGAACCTACTTGATGGCTGTGCAAGCAAACACACCCATTCCCTTCAGCTGGGAAGGCAGAAACTCACCAACTGGGCACTGCACCAAGTGGCAAGCACTCTGATCTCCCCAGCAGCACCCTACTGAACCAGCCACCTGTCCCCAGTGTACTGATGGAGTGAACATGGCCTAGTAACACACCCAATGTCACACAGCTGGTGCACACTGTGGAAACAGGGATGGAAAAATGTGTGGAACCCGGCAGTCTCCCCAAATTACTTCTATGCCCAGCTATGGAAAGACCAGAGTCACAAAACCTGCTCCCTTGGCAACAAAGCCACACAGATGGTTTCCTTGAAATATTTTTCAGGCTGGGTCCCAGTCAGTGAATGTCTAGGTTTCCTCAGCACAAGCAGTGACTGCGATCTGTAACCTGAGAGCCAGGTCTTCCGATGCCAGCACAGGCCAGGGACCCAACCATGAAACCAGCTGCCAGCCACCAATCACATAAACACTTACCACGACCGAGTCATTGTGAGTCAGGTCAACAACCACGGGCTCTAGTGATTCACACGTGAGGTCCACGATTTCGTCTCCAGCTTCAAAATAAAGCATGTCAGTGTTAGCCAAGGGTGGGCACGCGAGTCCTCTGAACTGGAGTGATTCGGATGCAGTGTGGGCCAAGCTTGATTGCCACACTAAAAACTCCCGGGGAACAAACACAGGGATCAAGATGGAAAAAACGTCCCAGCTATTCTGCTGAGATGGTCGCTTGGGTGCTAGTGGAAGCTCAAGGACCAGACAGTGGCAGTTATGTCTGGAAGGTGGGGACAAGGAGCAGTGAGCCTTCTGTTTATTTTTACTTACTTACTTATTATCGGGGATTGAACTTGAGTCCTTGCACTTGCAAGGCAGGTGGTGGAACCCGGACCCAACCTTCTGGTTTATATAAACCAAAGAAAAAGACCTACAGCCATTTGGTTTCTGGTTACTCTTAACATTAAAAAGCATGAGGCCTGCGCTGGGGATTTAGCTCAGTTGTTCTGTCACCTGCTTTGCAAGCACAAGGTCCCGAGTTCCATCCCCAGTATATATATAAAAAAAGGTGGGGCCGGGGATTTGGCTCAGTGGTTCTGGCACCTGCCTCGTGAGCAGAAGAACTTGAGTTTGAGCCCTGGTACAAAAAAAAAAAAGCATGAGGCTAAGATTTTTTAAAATGTCTTTTTTAGTTTTGAAGACTGGATCTAAGTTACCTTGTCAGATCTTGAATGTGTGATCTTCCTGCCTCAGCCTCCCAAGTAGCTGGGATTATAAGTGTGGCAAGATTTTTATTTTTATTTTCTTGAGACAGGGTCTCATTATGTAGTTCAGGTTGGCCCTGAATTCACTACATAGCACAGGCTCACAGTGCTCAAACTCACAGTGATCCTCCTGCCTCTGCCTCCTGAGTACTAGGATTATAGATGTATGCCACCACGCTCGGCAAGATTTTTAGAAACAGTTTCATTTAATATTTCATTAGGGAAAGTGACCTCCAATGCATTAACATGGCCTAACTTGTTCCTTTTTTCCTGTACAGGCACTCCTGTACGGTTTAATGACTGCGCAGACATACCACCTGTTTTTCTCTTGAACAGTTCTATACATCGTGTTGAGCCTGTCTTTTTTTGTACAGTTCACTTTGTTTATACAGTAGTGTCATATTTGATTGTATCATATAGCACTACATTGTTACACATTATAGCACTGCATGTAAGAACTATGAAAATCATAGCAAAGTCACCAAGGTGGACTTTCCTTGGACCACTTCTTTGTTCTGAATACTGTAATGTGCCCACTATAGACATACAATTCCCCATTTAAAAGCTGATTCATCTAACAACCTAGTCATAGGGATAGCGCTTGGTCATTAAGCGAGGTATATCTATCTGTATTTAAAGTTTCAGAGCCAGGCAATGGCAGATGTCTATAATCACAGCAGTCGAAGAGGCAGAGGCAGGAGGATCACAAATTTGAGCCCACACTGGGAAACACATTCATTTAAAATTAACTCATCCTGTCTCAACAATGGAGGGGGGAGCTGGACAGCTAGCTCAGTGTGAAGGCCCTGGGTTCAACCCATGGTACCACAAATAAAGAAACAAAAACGAAAAAGACAGAAATAAGTATAGCATAAACATCGCAGACATCCACCATACTTTACACAAACAGCCTTCACTCTATGAAGAACAGCTGCCTGCTCGCACAGCCTGCTCGCACATTGATGCATCAAAATCACGAGCCAGTCAGTGCCCTGGACGCATCTGCTCTGAAGACAAGGCAGCATGCCTGGGCCAGCTCAGCCCCCGCCTTGTGCGGGGAGAAGACTGCCCATAGGAAGACAGATGCCGCTTCCTGATCTGAGATGCTAAGTCCTCCACAAGACTATGCCTGTGTAATGCCACATGCAGGGACAGCACTAGCTTTGGGAGTTGAGGGCCAGGGTCTAGACAAAGTGGGGAAAGATTTTAGGATTTATGGCGAGAAGAGATCACACAGAGAATCCCAAGAAACGTAACTCTCAGCAGGCCGCTCCTCTGTAAGTCTACAGTGGTCCCAAGGCCAATGGTTCCTGCTCTGGTGTGCACTCCCTGAACAACCTCATTTTGAGGGAGGAGGGCACTGCTACAGATGGCGCTGAGGGTGTCATGTACCAAGTGAGAATACCACAGGCTCTAGCACTGACCTGCATGCTGCACTCCTGTAAGTGCTCTGGCATCACAGTTAGAAAAACCACCTTAATATACACAGAACAAAGGACACAACTCTGGCCATCTGACAATTTACTCAGTAGACAGAAAGGAAAACCCAATCTGGCCTCTGTCTAAATCAAACTTGAGAGACGGGCATGGTGGTGCACGCCTATAATCCCAGCACTCGAGGCTGAGACAGGAGGATCGCTGTGAGTTCGAGACCAGCCTGGGCTACATAGTGAGTTCCAGGTCAGTCTCAACTACATAGTGAGACCCTGTCTCAAAAAACCAAAATAAAAAAACAAACCAACCAAACTGGCCACAGGAACTCAACTGGTTAAGTTTGCCTTCCTGGGAGTTTTGGTCCTAATGAGAAGCCTTACACTTTATAAGGCAAGCATATGCAGGATGCTTTCAAACAGAAGAGGTGGCCCAGGGCAGTCTCCCTGCAGCTGCCTTACCAGCAGGGAGCTGAAGAACTGGCCCAGCTGAGCGGCTGCTTTAAACCCACGAAGATCCCAGGGGACCAAAGACACAGGTGGGTAAAGGCAAGACTGCACAGGCTTTGTGAAGACACTCACACAGCTTCAACGGGCAGGCCCCAGTGTTCTTTCCTGACCTACAACTTTATGTCTGAGGCCCCCCATTGCTCCACTGGAGGGAGGAGATGGGCTCAGACAGCACAGAACACGCACAAGAGGCTGGGCGAGTGGGTGGACGGCAACGTGGGTGCTGCCTAGGCCTAGGGTGTGTGCTCCCTCCGACCACACCATCTCCGCTTTAAGGCCGGGGTCCAGTGTCCCAGGCAGTCTTACCCGTTTCCACGAGTTCTATGGGTTCTGCTTCCAAGGCAATCTCAGGGGTGGAGCCTGCTTCCCGAGTTCTCTTCTGGGCTTGTCTAGAATTTACTGTTCCACTGCGTCGCTTTCTCTGAGGGTGTCAAGGGGAAAGGAAGAATAAAGAGGTCAACATAGGAATGATTCAGCCGAGGAGTACAAAGCCAGTAAGCAGCCCTCAGGTTGGGATCCTTTCATAACCCAAGACTCATGCACACTGAATGCTGAGAGAAACCATCTGAAATGCAGTGACTAGAAACTCCAGAGTAAAATGTTTTCATTAAACCATCAGTCTGTACGGATACGAAGTGTCCCAGTGCTCAGATCCCCTCTACCTGTCCTGATTCTCAGTCATGAGCCCTGCTGGCCCTCACATCAGGCAACCTGGGATACTTGTCCCAAAGTGTAAAGTTCTTTACCAGCCCCAGCCTTGCAGAGCTGCTGCAGGACGTGAGCTGACACATGAAAAGTATGGGGCTCAAAGATGGTCTCCTTGTCCCAATTCCAGATGCCTCATAAGGTGCAAACTGTTCCTAGAAACTCGGAAGGACTGTTTACAAAGGGAAGATTTGCATGAGACAGAGAACACCCACAACCAGCCCAACTCCCAGGCAACAAACAAAGAAAAGCTTAATTCCTTGTGCATTCTGACTATTGCCCTAACAAACTCAGCTTTGGAACTAGACGCTCACTTGGTACCTCTTCCCAAGGATCCCCTGGGGGCCCAGAGGCAAGTGACAGCCGCCAGAAACTCACAAAGGGAACCAGGTGCCATAGGTGCCTGGAATCCCAGAGGTTCAGGAGGCTGAAGCAGAAGAACTCCAAGTTGGATCCCAGCCTAGGCAATTTAGAAAGACCCTGTCTTAAAAAGCAAAAAATGGCTGAGGAGGTAGCTCAATTCTCTGGGCACAATCCTCTGAACCATGAAACAAACAAAAACAAGGAAATCACATCACCCAGGGGAGGGATGGGGAATGTCACTCAGTGGCAGAGTGCTTGCCAGCATTCTCCAGGTCCTGGGTTCAAGCCCCTGTTTTCTTGAGGTGGGGGCACACGGGTCAGACATGAGTGCTTCTGAGGGAGGAACGGCTCTTTGCTTCAAGGGCACTGATCCTCCAACAACAACCAAGTTCCACTGCCAGCTTTCCAGAACTACTGAAAAGTCACCTCCATCCAAAAGGACACCCATCCCTTCCCTCCCACAACAGGTTAGGGGACTGGTCCTCCTCCACCCCTACTTCTTGAGGGCAGACGGGTTATCTCAAGATGGCTCTTCAGGCAAAACCGTTCTTCTGCCTGTCCATTACTGGGATCATGACTCTCCTGTTCACCAGCTGAGCTAGTAGAGGCTCACAGCTCTGGGTGAAGGTGGACAATCCAATCACAACCATGGAAATTATTTAAGCCCTTTTAGGAATTTAAACCAGTTTATTATTTTGATTTTTTGTTTTTAAAGCAGGATCCTGCTATATTTGGTCCAGGCCAACCTTGAACTCACTATATAGTCCTACTGGCCTCAAACTCATAACCCTCCTGCCTCAGCCTCCTGAGTGCCAGGATTAAGGCATGTGCCACCATGCCCAGCAGCCAATTATTTCCCCTCTCCTCACACCCCCGCCCTCCATAAAGCCAACAATGTTTGGCCTGCCCAGATTTGGTCTGCACAGAGACAGAGCTCCTGAGAGAAGGCTAAGAACATCTATTTCCTGCAGGTGAGCAAGGGCAGCAATCTCCAGATAAAGGCCAAGGGGAGGCAAGGGCAGGTCTAGGGACAGAGTCCACTGGGTACAAACAGCAACAGCAGGTACAGAGGCTCCCAGCTGGCCGGAAGTCATCAGGAGGAGAAGGAAGAGCAGGAACCACAGGAGGAGTCCTGCCCTGTTCACTCCTCCCATCACTGCCCCTCCCCAACTTGATAGGCCTGCCAGACAACGAAGTAAGCCTGTACTGAGTTTGGATCAGATTAGCAACCTTCAAGAGCTGACAGAATCTGCTCTAGAGCTCAAGGAGCTCCAGAAGACATGGGGGTTGCACCAACCGCAGCTGCCTCAGGGTGATGACAGCTTAAATAGCAGTCACAAAACTGTCCTGGTCACTCGCAGGAGTTAGCCCCTCAGCAGGGCAATACCTTCAGGCTCATGGTGAGCACAGGTAAGCCACACAGAAGGGTTAAGGGAAAACTGAGCTGCAAATAACTAAAAAACTCAAGAGCCTTCATTTTTCCAGGACATGGACCACTGTTCTGAAGGTATGGACCACAGGACCCCAAGGTCTTCTCAGCCTTCTGTCTGTCTTGGGGCTCTCCCTCTAGCACCTGGAACTCAGCTGGGATGAGCAGGCTGGTGTAACCAACAGAAACACACTTCCTAGAGCCAGGGTCGCATAGAAGCCTCTTATGGTCCACACTTTAACATGCTACAAGGAACAAAGTAGTTGCTTAGCCCTGAAAATAAAATTCACAAGCTGCTAAAACTTACTGTACTCATTGTGCTCTCTGGCTCCAAACTACAGAAAAGGAAGCAATCTACACCGAGGTTTACAGTGAAGTCTAATGTTCTCAGCCTCTCATGCCCACTGGTTACTCATCTTCCAGCTTACAGAGAATTTGGAGCCAGGCAGATTTCCAGTATCTTGAAGTTCTGAAAAACAAAGATAACAACTTGATAAATGCTGGCACCTGCACTGTTGACAACAAAGTTCAGATCAATAATTTACCAGTCCTTTTTGTCATCTGGGCACTCTGCCAAACATTTCATGCAATTTAAGTTCACAATATCAATTCTTCTTAGGAAATAACTTGCACCACTGAGCAAGTTATCCTCAGCCAATGAAATAATGTCTGTTGTACACAGGACCACTTTATCCCAAAACCTGAAATCAGAACCACAACATCTCCTGCTTGCCTGCTTCAAGGGGACCGAACTCAGGACCTCATGTACTCTACCATAGAGCCACACCATCCACCCAGACTGCCCCTTACAGGCAAAAGTGCCTGCTAACACCCACATCTGCCCACACCACCTTCTCAGCAATGAGGAAACCCCAAGCCTCAGGCTCTTCAACGTTGACTCCAGTCACCCTCCAAAGGTGTGGGGCGTTGGAGGAGACAAGAGCCATCTCCTCCCAGCACCCAGCAGGAAGCTCCCCAAATGGCCCTAGCATGCCCAAGACCATTCCGATCACTGCATGGTTCCAGACCACTGTAATTCCTGGGTCCCAATAGCTACTTGTTTCTGGTCCCGGTAAGTGCCTTATATTTGGACACACTTGCACAACACAGGCTTTTTTTCCCCTTGAAAATTATCATTCCAAGTCAAGGGTATTCAAAAATGAAGGATCTTGGGCTGGGGATTTAGCTCAGTGGCACCACACCTGCCTCCCAAGTGTAAACTGTTTGATCCCTAAAAAAAAAAAAAAGGAACTTGCCTCAAGTCCACAATGAGTAAATAGCACAGCCTCGATTCACAGGGAGGCATCTGATGCCAGATCACATTCTTAGAATACTGTTGATGCTAGAATCAATTTTTTCTTTTTGGTACCAGAGATCAAACTAGGATCCTTGTGCTTGCAAGGCAAGCAGCAGAACCCCTGAGCTAGATATCCTGGCCCACCAGAATCAATTTTAACATAGAAAACAGTGTTTCTAGAAAGGAACCTTTGCTTCCCCCTTCTTTTAGCATCCCTGTCCTCCAGCCCTCCCTGGGAGCAAAGGGCCCAGCATCCTTCCGTGCAGAGACAAACCCAGCAGTCCCTTGTGATCACAGAAGGAGCAGGACTTGGGAGCCACAGTGTAATGGCTAATGATGGCCTCACCACCAACACCAGAGCAGCAGTCAGTCCTTACTGGCTAGATGCGATGACTCCAAAACTTTTCATTGAGAAACATGTACACCAAGGTATATATAGCTGGCTATTCTGAAATAATGACTGCGCTCAGACAAAACCCTTTTTTGGGGGCTGGAGGTGTTGCCAATGGCAGAGCACTTGTGTGGCATGTGTGAGGCATTGGGTTTGATCTCCAGCTCCACAGAAACAAAACCAAAATGAAAACAAACCACAAAAATCCCACACTTCTTTCAAAGAGGAAGGAACAGTGAACACAGGATAAAGATAGGCTGAGGGTCCTGAAGCAGCCAGGGAGCTGGACATAGGAAGTGACACCAAGGACCAAGGCAGATTTGCACTCCAGGCCCAAACTATGCTGAGGACCAATGGGTTGCCAGGAGAAGCTGCCAGCTCAGAAGACCAGAAGTGACAGAGCTACTCAAGAAACAGCTGAAGGAAGGATGCCCCAGGGAGGGACTGTGGGAACAGCAGAAGTGACAAAGGTTCAGATCACAAATCACACCCCAAGAGCAGGCCAGTCAAGGTCTTCAGATGCAGATCATGACTGAGACCTGCAGTTGGAGAGATGGCACCCATGTGCCCAAGGAAAGAGGAAGACAAGTGAGACTGCGGCCAGGGAGGAGACCACAAGTGACCACAAGGCTCAGGTGGCAGCAGAGTACAGGAAAGTGACTGGCTGCAAAGGAGACAGGTGGGCTTTGGGGCTTTCTGGTCTACTTCACCATACTGTCACTGTTAGGATTTTTTCTCCCAGTAAAGCCACCACAGCAGGAATATGACATACACAGATGTGTGCCTGGCATCTGCCTGTGGGTTTAACATGTATATGGACTGTGATATGGCTAGAAACAAACAGGCAAGCAAGAAGAGTGCAGGCCAAGTGTGGTGTGCACATCCTGTAATCTCAGTACTCTGGAGGCTGAGGCAGGAGTGTTACCAGTTTGAGGCCAGCCTGGGTTATATAGTGAAACCCTATCAGAAAACAAAAACAAAATGGCAGTGTTAGCCAATCCCAGACCTCTGCATTCCTGAGTAAAGAAAGGAACAGCAGAAAAGGGAAACGGGGCGGGCCGGGGGAACGGCACAGGCACAGGTGGGCAAGGCACAAAAGAAATAAAATGAAGCTCACTTCTTATTTCACTGTGGTAAGGCCTCATCTGTGTGCTCAGTGTGGTTTCTAGCACCCAACGGCAATTTTGTCTGGGACAGGAGCTATACCAGGGACTACATGGGGCCACTGCTCAGTACACACAGTTAAGTCCAGGATGCTACGGATACAGACACCAAGTCCACCCACACCCGAGTTTCTCAAAGGAAACGGCAGAGTCTGCATCTCACCTGCACACCTCTCCCCATATAATCCCTGGATTATATGCACCTAATGCAAAGTAAATACTACATGAGTAGTTGTTATACTATATAAAGAAATAATGAGAAATTAGGCATGGTGGGCACACCTGTAATCCCACCACTTGGGAGGCTGAGGCAGGCTTGAGTTCCAACCCGTCCTGGGCTACCTCATGAGTTCCAGGCCAGCCTGAGATATATAGCAAGACCCTGCCTCAACCAAAATAAAGAAAGATAAATAATGACAAGGAAAAAACAAGTTTGTATATGTTCAGCACAGAAGCATTTTTATCCCAAGTATTTATTTGGTGCTGGGATCACTGAGACAGACAGAAGTGCCTGACTCTCATTTGTCCCTGAACTGGATGGATGGGGTGTGACTTGGCTGGTGGCCAGCATGAACCCACCCACCCCGCATTGGGCCAGGAGAGTTTGCATCAGGTCCTTTTTGGTCATCAAACTGCCATTCTTCATTCCAACTGAAGTGCAGCCAGGCAGCATAGTACTCCCTCTCCTCAGACCATACTGTTGCCTTTTGGGGAGCAGAGAGGGGCACCCTGGTGTGGCTGAGATAAGGAAGGGAGGGTGCTGGGCCCCTTATTTGCATACCCAAGGCTCACAGCAACTTTCCAGAAGATTTCCTGGTTTGGGGCCTCACCCTGACTACACAGGCCTGCAAAAGGCTACATAAGCAGAACTTCCTAGGCACCTCTGAGCTTTTGCCCAGGAGGGAACCCTCCTGTTTTGGTCCCCACCATGCTGCAGCACAGAGTCTGTTGAAGACTCACATCAGTGTTCCTGTAAATCTGCTCATGATGATTTCTGGGATAGTGTGGGTTCCCAAAAGTCCTGTACATCTATTATCCTGAGTAATGTGGACAGAGACAGCCATGAGCAGCAGTAACCAGCTGCTGGCTATTTCACTGTAGGCATCTAGCATTACCTGATGTTATCTGATGTCAGGACTGCTAGCAGAGCTGCACACTACAGACTCATGATTTCAATCTGAATCAAGCAAAAGAATCCAAGGAGGAATGGCCTCCTGCATGCTAGGTAATCCCTCAGTGCTAACTGCTTACCTACATCCCTAGTCCTTCTAAGTATTTTTTCTTTTTGTACTGGGGATCAAACTTAGGACCTTTCTCTTGCAAGGCAGGTGTGGTACTACTGAGCTAAATCCCTGACCCTTCTTCTAAGTATTTCTTATCCTCGGTTGAAGCTATAGAAATAGAACCCATGGATTTGAAGAACCAACTGTGTATAGTTTATCAAACAAAAGACCAACTCATGGAGAGCATATTCTAACTGAAAAGATGCACCTATTTTGATAAAAACAAGCACTACAGTGTATTTACTATAATAGTAATGCTCTTAAGGAGGCAAAAAGATAGGAAAGCAGAAAAAAAGATTATTACGTGAATCCAATGAAGTTAACCTTCACTAGGCAACTCAAAAAGCCAGCCAGCTCCAAAAGACCTAAGAATACCCTGAGGGTTCCCACATGATCACAAACACTGCCCACAGAATATGGTCCCAAATCATCATCTGAAGTTATGGACTCCTGCTCAATGGAAGAAGTTAAGAAACACTAACTGCTACTTTGAGCTTGCTCATGGTTGTGGGCTCCAGAAAGGTCCACAGCCTGAGGATGGGGAATGGTGTGAATGCTGTATCAGCCCTTAGGGGCATGGCTCTCACACAAGAAGTCCACAGAGATAGCTGGCAGATGCTTCCATGTGTAATGCGCAGCTTGGTCCAGCTGCAGTTATGGTTTAGACCTTAAACATCCCCTAAAAGATCATGTGTTGAAGGCTTGGTGCCCAGCTGGCCATGTCATTGGGAGGTGGTGGAGACTTCAGGGGGTAGGGCTAATGGAAGGAAGTTGAGTGTGCCTTGGACCAGGCTTTGGCTGGCTCCTTCCTCTTTCTCTTAGCTTCCTGGCACCCAGCCTTGTAAGCACCTGGCTCTGCCACACACACCCCCAGGTCTGGCCTTACCACAGGTCCAAAGAAACAAAATGACCGGGGACTGAAAACTCTGAAACCATCGGCCAAAATTAATCCTTCCTCTTTGTTAAGTTCTGGTATTTTGTCAGTGACAAAAGATGATTAACACAGCTGGGTTCATTTTCTGTGATCATCTAGTCTCTCTCACAGAGAAACTGAGATCAGGAAAATCAAATTCACATTATGTTCAAAATTGTTCCCTACTGCATCAATCCCACTGGGACAAATCCTTGCTTTCAAATAAGGACTTCTAGCAGAAGCAACTGCACTTCACTCCAGGTACCCTGGGTATCACCACCCTCCCTGGGTTCTTTCCCATCACAGTGTCACATTCTGTAGAGGGTAAAAGTCCTACCACTCCTAGCCTACACCTCAGGAGATTTGTATCCACCCTTACAAGGTCTATCTCAAGGTTACTTTAATTCTCTCTTCTGAATTCCAATTTCATCACTTCTTTTACTGCAGTCCCTTAACTTAAAAAACATAACTCTAAATCGACTATTACCCTAAATAAGCACAGCACTTGGCACAGCATATAAATAAATTTTCCCCAGTGATATTATAACTAATGAATTATTGAACTCACTAAATGTTTGAAAGAGATGGAAGAGAAGTGTAAGAAACACCAGGGTGCTTTTCTTGGCAGAGGGGTTCTAAAGATGGGGAAATAGCCAGGCTCAATGGCCCAGGAGTGCTGGAGTTACAGGGGTGTACCACAACAGGCCCTAGGAAACAAATCTAGAACAGATGAGCACCACGGAAGATCAGAAGACAACATCTCTACTTGACATGTTTCCAACTTGCAGGAGCAGTAAAAGACCAGAACAGAAACCCAGAAGGTGCTTAGAAGCTAGATGTGGTGGCACATGCCTGTGATCCCAGCTACTCAAGAGACTGAGACAGGAGGATTGAAAGTTTAAGGCCACAGACTGGAGTGGTGGCGCTTGCCTATAAACCCCAGCCCTTGGGAGGCTGAGGCAGAGGATTGCCAGGGAGGTGAGTTCAAGGCCAACTGGGGCTACACAGTGAGACCTTGTTTCAAAAAAAAAAAGGCCAGGATTTAACTCAATGGTTCCACAGCCTGCCTTGCAAGGTCCAGAGTTTGATCCCTGTACCAAAAAAAAAAAAAAAAAAAAAAAGTTCAAGGCCAGCCTGGGAAACTTAGAACAACCTTATCTCAAAATAAAACAAATAGGGCTGGGAATGTGGCTCAGGGCTCCTTGGATTCAATCACCAGCGTGCAACCCTCTCCCCCAAAAGGCACAAATATTGGTAATGGTTACAAACCTGCCATAGCAAGCAGCCAAATTTAGCAAGTTTGACTACAGAGATGAGGTACAGCAAACAGGGAAGACCCAGGCCCTGCCCCCTCCCCAGGTTGAAAGGAGGAGGAGAAATCTCAGGAATAACAAAGTTTTTCAGGAACACAATGCAGTCACTGAGAATCAACTTTCTTGAAAATATATATAATTGGACCCCTTCTTGGGAGAAAAGAAAAATTATTATCCTCCCAACCTGGGAACAGTAAAATATATAGGTAAGTCATTTCAAAATAAGATACTGATCACATAATACAATCTTTGACCATCTTTTATATACAGCACAGAATTACTCTGCATTTTATTAAGCACCCCAAATCTTTTCCAGAAATTGTTGGGGGTGCCAACTACCAGCCATAGACCTTGCTGAAACCTTGCCTTACAAGAGCTAGTAGCAGGGATTACAGGCATGTGCCACACAGGTCCCAGCTCCAAGACCACTAGCCTCATCCACCTTTCTAATAATACATCCTTCTCACAGCCACAGTAATTTTAACACAGCCAACTGTGTTCCTTCCCAGCTTAGCATTTAATGGTATGGCATGCAGTAAACTGTGAACTCCTTTATGTGAAGGGCACCCCAAAGACCTCTGGGGCCTCATCCCTGCTTACTTCCTTCATCCAGACCCAACCCTCACCACATTTCTTGCACCCTCTAATTTGTAGTGCAGGGATTTCCTTTCATGTTCTCCAACCTCCCTCAGGCCCAGAAGGGCTAGCACTATGCCCACCTTGTTGCTAGTTATACCCCAAGCAGAAAGCTCTGCATGCAGAAGACCTTGATATAGTACTATTTTCCAGTATTTAAAGGCATGCATTCTCAAAAACAGCGCAAAATCTTACTCTATGTACAGATCACAAATATACACGAAATAGTTTTATATATATATACACACACACACACACACATACATGGCAGTAAAGGGCCAAGGACTTAGCTCAGCAGCACACTTGCCTGGGAAGTGTGAGGTCCTGAGTTCGATCCTCTGGTACCAAAATACCAAACAAAAATGGCAGTAAAAGTTCATGGAGGTGGTGATTAGGAAATCAATGCCCGAAAAAGCTCCTTACAGAGATAGGTAATTAAGGTTAGCCAGGCATGGTGGCACACGCCTGTAATCCCAGAACTTGGGAGGCCCAGGGAAGCTTTGGCAGGCAGATCGCCAGGAGTTCAAGGCCAGCCTAGGCTATTCAGTGAATTCAGGCATTTATTTATTTTGCCTCAAAATAAATAAATAAATTAAATAAACAAATAAACAAACCAAAAAGGTGATGAACACTATTAAAACAAGATTCTCTGTCTTTGTTTTTTGAGACAAGGTCTGGCTATGTAGTTCAAACTGGCCTTGAACTGGAGGCAATCCAGTCTCAGCCTCCCGCTGGGATTACAGTGGTGGCAAAAAGGGCTTTTAAAGCAAGATTCTGGAATGCGAGTTGGCATACAAAAATAGGAAATACAAAAGCCAGCAATTACAATTCATCTCGCGCAGGTAGAACTGAATCCAATGGTCTCTCCATTAAAAAGCAAAATCGGGCCGAGGATGTAGTTCAGTGGCACAGTACCTGCCTGGCAAGTGCGAGGTCCTAAGTTCGATCCCCGGTAGCAGCAACAAAACTAAACAAACAAAAAAAAGCAAAATCACCAGGAAAAACAAAAGATTCCCTTCCACACATTCAGAAACTAGACTAAATCTGCTGCCACCTAGCTGGCTGTGTGATCTTGTGTCCAACTATCTCACCTTTCCGGGTCCCAGTTTCCCGAACAGTCGGGCAGCCTAAACTGAGCGCATGGCACGGTGGTACGCAGAGCTGAGACCCCAGGTCTGGCTCAATAACTCAATGGATAAGAACCAAAATAAACGCTACGATGGGCCCTGAACACCGACAAGAACCAGACAAAGACTAAAATATCCACCAACGTGGCTCGCCAAGCTCTGCTCTTTTCCTCCTCCCTGTAAGGTCTAAAAGGTGGGCAAGCGGTGTTTACCGGGCACTGACCGTCGTACACCCGTACGCCGGGGCTCCGAAGGCGAGGGGCCCCGAGGCCCAGCCACACGTCTCACTCACCTGGGAGCCCGGAGGTAAGGCCCCACTCAGCGCCCGGAGCCGGGTCTACCCCCCTGTACCCGGCACCTTCGGCCCAGAACGGCCCCGCCACGCGGCTCCTCGATGGCGGGGCGGCGGCGCGGGCACACAAAGGAAGCATCGTCATCGGGAAACAAATGAGCTTGTCTAGACCTCCCCTCGAACTGCGCGCCCCCGCCTGGCTCTTCGAGTGACCTTGGGCGCGTCCCACCCCTTCCCGTGCCTCAGTTTCCCTCCTTCGGCAGCAGACGCGGGCCCGCCGAGCGGAGTCCAGCTTCACATGGCGGCCTACCCACTTGGGACGCCAGCGCCGTGCCGGACCCGGCCTGGGCACCCGCTCAGACTACGGCGAAGTGGGCGGAGTCGGCCCAAAGCTCCAGAGAGGCCCCGCGCTGGTGCCGGGTTCGAGCACTTCCAAGCCGCGCCAGACGAGCGCCGAGGCCTCTAAAGGCTACAAAACCGCCCGAAAGCCGCTTCCCCCCGGCCTGGACGTGCCGCTCCTTTCCCACGAAGGCTGCCCTTAACTGTAGCTTACCTAGTCACTGTCGCCAACCTGCTGGACCTAGGCAGCACCTTCGGGAGCCGCCGAGCAGACCCGCTCAAGCAAGACTCCGCCGTCTCAAAGCGACCCACTTCCGCTCCGCAGGAGTCTTCCCCGCCCCTCACGAATTTCCATTGGCTGCTTCTGCCTCTACGCCCCTGCTCCACAGGCTAAGGAGGCTTGTTTTCAATTCTATTGGATAAGGAAACCGTCATCACCTCTTTGAAATGCGCCTTCTTCCGGCCCCGCCCACGCTCGTGCGCCCGAGCTCCCACTTCCCGCGAGAGCGCCCTGGCGCCGCTCTGCCCGCAAGGGTTCTCGGGAGTCGATTCTGCTGCGGCGGAAGCGCTGTCTGCGTCTGGTTGACCCTTTAACCCCGGGTGGTGGTGTCTGAAGCCGCTGAGCCACGCCTTACCGTGCTCACCAGCGGTTGTACCCCTTGCCGGACTGGGCCGGCTGGCGGCGTGGAGAAAAACATGAGTTCCCGCCAGCCAGTCCGTGCCCCTCTCCGGGCCTCAGTTTCCTCTCCTGTTAAGGAAGCCTTTGTGAGGAAACAGCTCCGCAACCTGCAGTATCTGATAATCCGCCCGATCCACACCCCTCGTGCCAGGCCCTTGCATACTAATGGTTGGAAGAGATCCGGGAGCTCCGCCTCACCCCTCTATCGGTGGGGACCCGAGCCTGGATCTGGATCTGGGAGGAAGCGGCGTCGAGCTGGGGACCGTGGGACCGGGAAGAAGGGTGGGGACCGGGTCTTGGAGGGCCCAGGCGCCAAGTCACCTGCGGAATCCAGATTGTTTGGCGACAGCAGGTGTCGGGACCAGAAGAACGACCTGGGGAAGAAGGGCTGTGGCCCCGCAGAAGCCACTCTCGGGTCTCGAAGGCAGCTGTGCAACTCCCAGGGTCGAGAGATTGCGGCAGCCTCCCCACCTGACTTTGAAATCCCGCTGCTTAGGCAGATCACTGTTTCCTTCGCCTGTGTGAAGAGGATGTCAAAGGAAGAATTTGGAAACCCGTTTGTGGGTATGGACCAGAATCAGACTAGAGAGCTGAGTATGGGTTTCTTCAGCTTTGGTCCCCAGGCTGGATTTGGATCTGGATTTAGTGAAGGGGGAGTTGCTGTTGTGTAGGCTAGACTCATGGCCATCCTCTCTGGTCCCTAGGTGTACTCAGGCAGTGTGTGTGTGAAGGTATCTCAGATGCTTGGGATAGGTTTGTTAGACAGGGCTTCACCCTGGAAGACTGAGTCACTAATGGGAATGACGAAGCAGATCAGAACCAGACCGTTGATCCAGGCAAGGTAGTCCACACCTGTAATCCCATCACTCCAAAGGCTGAAGCTGGAGCATCTTCAGTTCCACCAGGCCTGCCTGGACTACACAATGTAGGGGGCTCCCTAGATAAAAGATAGGATGAAAGCCTCATGGAGCTTTATTAAAAATTAACAAAGCTGGGCATGGTGGTGCATGCCTGTAATCCCAGCACTTGGGAAGCTGAGGCAGGAGGATCGCTGTGAGTTCAAGACTGCCTGGGCTACATAGTGAGTTCCAGGTCAGTCTCAACAACATAATGTGAGACCTTGTTTCAAAAAAACAAACAATAAGAGCTGGGGATTTAGCTCAGTGGTGCTGCCACCTGCCTTGCTAATGCAAGGTCCTGAGTTTGATCCCCGGTACCAAAAAAACAAAAATAATAATAATAATAAAACACCTCTAACCTCTGCAGCTAGACAAAAGCAGCAATTAGAAAGACAGAGGCAACTGGGCTTGAGCAATTAGGAAGACAAAAGTGAAGAAACTAAGTCTGGGAAGCTCCCTGGTAGCATAATAACATAAGAATCTGAAGTGGGCAACTCACCCGTCTGGGGCTTTCTCTCAATAAATTTT